AAACGCATACCGGCGACAGCGTATATGCTTCCCTGTTTGAAAAAATTAACCTGAATCCGGTATCTGCCCTGAGTGCACTGGATATCTGGCAGGATCCACAGGCCATGTCAGAAGCGTCTGCAGATGAACGCCTGACGGCAGGGATGCAGGTGTTTATGGAGTGTCTGGCAAAAGCCGGTACGCAGGTGGAAAAACTCGATAAAGCGCTGATTGACCATCATATTGCAGAGCTTGATTATCAGATCAGCCGTCAGCTGGATGCTGTGCTTCATCATCCGGAATTTCAGAAAGTTGAATCCCTGTGGCGGGGCGTGAAGTCTCTGGTGGATAAAACGGACTTCCGCCGTAATGTGAAAATTGAGCTGCTGGATCTGTCCAAAGACGATCTGCGTCAGGATTTTGAGGATGCGCCGGAAATTATTCAGAGCGGTCTTTATCTGCAGACCTATGTGGCTGAGTATGACACGCCGGGTGGTGAGCCCATTGCCGCCCTGGTTTCGGCCTGGGAGTTTGATGCATCTGCACAGGACGTGGCACTGCTGAAAAATATTTCCCGGGTGGCGGCATCCGCGCATATGCCGTTTATTGGTTCAGTTGGCCCGGCGTTCTTCCAGAAAGAAACCATGGAAGAAGTGGCTGCCATCAAGGATATTGGCAACCACTTTGAACGTGCCGAGTACATCAAGTGGAATGCTTTCCGTGAGACGGACGATGCCCGCTATATTGGTCTGGTGATGCCCCGTGTACTGGGACGCCTGCCGTATGGCCCGGATACCGTACCTGTCCGCAGCTTTAACTATGTTGAAGAGGTGAAAGGACCGGATCACCATAAATATCTCTGGACGAACGCGTCTTTTGCCTTTGCCGCCAACATGGTGCGTAGTTTTGTCACCAATGGCTGGTGTGTTCAGATCCGCGGGCCTCAGGCCGGTGGTGCGGTGCAGGATTTGCCAATCCATCTGTATGATCTGGGAACCGGTAATCAGGTCAAAATACCGTCAGAGGTGATGATCCCGGAAACGCGGGAGTTTGAATTCGCTAATCTGGGCTTTATTTCTCTCTCTTACTACAAGAACCGGGATTATGCCTGCTTCTTCTCCGCCAACTCCGCCCAGAAACCGGCGCTGTACGATACGCCGGATGCGACAGCGAACAGCCGTATTAATGCCCGTCTTCCCTATATCTTCCTGCTGTCCCGCATTGCGCATTACCTGAAGATCATTCAGCGGGAAAATATCGGTACCACCAAAGATCGCCGTCTGCTTGAGCTGGAGCTGAATAACTGGATCCGGGGACTGGTGACGGAGATGACCGATCCGGGCGATGAGCTGCAGGCCTCGCATCCGCTGCGTGACGGAAAAGTGGTGGTGGAAGATATCGAAGACAATCCGGGATTCTTCCGCGTGAAACTCTACGCCGTACCGCATTTCCAGGTGGAAGGTATGGATGTCAGCCTGTCACTGGTTTCGCAGATGCCGAAGGCAAAAGCGTAAGGCAGGCGTCGGGAAATGAAGATTTATCGTCCACTGTGGGAAGACGGGGCTTTTCTGATGCCCCAGCAGTTTCAGCAGCAGGCTGCCTGGGATGTTCATCTGGCAGACAGCGTTGCCAGAATGGGGCTGGCGCATCCATGGGGCGTGGTGGCTGCAGAGTTTGATGACTCTCTGTTACCTCTTTCACGGTTGAATGCCACCCGTCTGATTGTTCGTTTCCCGGACGGAACGCTTATTGATACGGAACGCGCGGATAATCTGCCTCCGGTCTGTGATTTATCGACGGTTTCTGATCGTTCCCTGGTGGATATTGTGCTGGCACTACCGTTACTGAATGCTAACGGTGGCAACCTTGATAATGGCAGTGAGAGCGAGCGTCCGCGTCGCTGGAAATCAGAAAGGGTGAATGTGCAGGAGCTGGCCGGGCATGAGCAAAGCGAAGTGGCGGTATTGCGGCATAACCTGACTCTGCGCATGGCTCATCAGGAAAATGCTGCCTGGCTGACCTGTCCCGTTACCCGTCTTGTTCGTGATGCACAGGGACAGTGGTGCAGGGACCCGCGTTTTATTCCCCCTCTGCTGACGCTGTCTGCCAGTCCTTCGCTGATGACTGAACTTGCGGAGTTGCTTCATCACCTGCAGGCGCGTCGCCAGCGACTGATGTCCATGCGTCGGGAGAACAATGCCCGTCTTGCGGATTTTGCAGTGGCGGACGTGTCGTTGTTCTGGTTGCTGAATGCCCTGAACAGTGCGGAGCCTGTTCTGAAAGAGTTGCTTGACATGCCTTACCGCCACCCGGAACTGTTGTACAGGGAGCTTGCCCGACTGGCAGGCTCCCTGCTCACATTCTCGCTTGAGCATAATGTGGATGCGGTTCCGGCATACCATCATGAAACACCTGAAAATGTTTTCCCACCTTTGCTTTCTTTGCTGAACCAGCTGCTGGAGGCAAGCCTGCCTTCCCGTGTGGTCTTCATTGAACTGAAACAAAATGGTGTGATGTGGGAGGGGGCATTACATGATGCGCGTCTGCGCGAAGGGGCTGATTTCTGGCTTTCAGTGCGCTCTTCCATGCCCGGGCATGAACTGCAGACGAAGTTTCCGCAGCTATGCAAAGCCGGAAGCCCCGATGATGTGTCTGAGGTGGTGAATGTGGCGCTGAGCGGGGTCATTATCCGTCCGGTTACGCATGTACCGGCGGCCATTCCACTCCGGCTGGAAAACCAGTATTTCGCGCTGGATTTAAGTACGGATGCGGCCCGGGCGATGCTGGACGCGGGGCGTTGTACTTTCTACACCCCGGCATCGCTGGGGGATGTGAAACTGGAACTTTTTGCGGTGCTGCGGACATGAATAAACCTGTTATCTCCCGGGCTGAACAGATTTTTTATCCCGGCTGGCTGATGGTCAGCCAGCTGCGCAGCGGGCAACCGGTTGAGGATGGTAAGGCCCTGTATCGCCGTGCCTGTCAGCTGGTGAAACAGGCGCGTGAAGAGCTGGCCGAAGCAGGATTCAGTCAGGAAAACAGTGACACCATGTTGTATGCCTTCTGTGCCCTGCTGGACGAGAGTGTGCTGAACCGCGAAAAAACAGATGATGGCTGGCACACCTGGCAGCAGGACCCGCTGCAGGCTCATTTTTTTGGTACGCTCAATGCCGGTGAAGAGTTCTGGGAGCGTATTCGTGAGCAACTGAAATTACCAGCGCCGGATGTGGCGGTACTGACATGCCTCTGCCGTACGCTTCAGCTCGGTTTTACCGGTCAGTACCGGTCGCAGGATGATGAGCGTCGCGAAGATGTAATACGCGCACTGACAGCGCGTGTTCCTGCATTTACTTTCGCACAGGATGCGCCGGTGGTGGTGCGTGCACCGGGTTACCGTGCTGGCAGAACGATGTACTGGTTGTCATGGGTGGCGGGTATTGTGACGCTGGCTGGTCTCTGGTGTGTGCTTTCTTCTGTGCTTGCAGACCAGGTGGCACGGCTTACCGGGCAGGGATAACCATGCACGTACGTTCCCGTCTCTGGCTGACAATACTGAGTCTGTTCCTGACACTGTGGCTGATTTCGGGATTCCTGCCGCTGTCTGTAGTAAACCAGATAATACTGACCCTGGTTTCAGTTGTGGCGGCGGGGCTTGTGCTGTGGTACCAGTGGCGTTGTCTGTCTTCCCGTCGTGATATCCCGGAGAAGGCCGGCGATGACGGTCTGCCGCCTGAGTATTTTCAGGGACATGTGCTGCTTGTTGCCGGAAACTCAGATGCGTGGTTCGAATCCGGTCAGGCATACCGGGAAACAGCATCGGGATGGTATCTTCGTGTGGATACGCCGGAGCAGATGAGAATACTGGCAGAACGGTTGTCGTATAACCGTCCGGCCCTGTGTGGCCAGGTCGTGGTCATGCTGGGACTTTTACCGGAGCAGCATACCTCAGATGAAGCTTTTCTGCCGTGGTTGCGGAACTGGCAGCGTGCAGTCATGCAGTGCCGGCAGTGGCTGAATACCACGCCACCGGTGCTGGTGACATTGATGGTTTCAGAGCCGTCACCACAAAACACATCCTTAAATAAGCACTCTGCACACTGGTTTACACTGACACCGGACCTGCCGGGAATGCATATACGCCTGACAGAAGCCGGAGCCATTCCGGCAGAGGAATGGCTGCTGGCGTGTGATGCAGCGTCCAGGCTCCGGTGCGTCAGTGAACTGTTATGGCTGAATGCCCTGTTGTCCTGGTACAACAGGGTTACTGATGCCCTGACAGATATTTGCCGGCAGGAGCACTTTTATTTCCGGCCGGTTGCCGTTGGATTCTGTCTGACGTCGGTTGCGGCCCACCCCGGTAATCTCTGGCAACAACAACTGACGTCCCTCACTGCACTGCCACCGTCTGCCGGCGTGTCATCACAGGCACTGCCGTTGCCGGATATTCTGCTGTCCGGTATCCCCCGTCATCGTGGACTCAGTCACTGGCACAGACTTTGTCGCCAGACAGGGGCGATTGTCGGTGTTTTTCTTCTGCTGGCTATACTGGCGTCTTTTATGAATAACCAGCGACTGGTTCGCAGTGTGGGGGAGCACCTGACGGCCTGGCACCGGATGAGCGGATATTCATCTGAATCGAAAACAACAGCACTGCAACGTCTTCAGGCTGACAACCAGTTACTGAACGACTGGCAGCAACGTGGTGTGCCACAGCGTTACGGACTGGGATTGTATCAGGGAATGTGGCTGATATCGCCGGTTGAGCGAGCGATTAGTGAGCGGGTTGCACCACTGCCTCCCCGTCCGGTGATACAGAAAGTTACTCAGACGCCGAAAACGGTTCGCCTTAACAGCCTGGCGCTGTTTGATGCCGGTAAATGGACGCTGAAGCCGGGCGCCACAAAATGGCTGGTGAATGCCCTGGTGGATATTAAGGCAAAAGCAGGCTGGTTGATTGTGGTCAGTGGCCACACGGACAATACCGGTGACCCGCAGCGCAACCAGGCTCTGTCCCTGAAGCGTGCAGAGGCCGTTCGCGACTGGATGCGGGATACCGGCGATATTCCCCAAAGTTGTTTTGCCGTACAGGGATACGGTGAAAGCCGCCCTGTGGCCCCGAATGACACGGCGGAAGGCCGTGCGCGTAACCGCCGTGTTGAAATCAGTCTGGTACCGCAGGCCGATGCCTGTCGTCTGCCGGACGCTTCCCCTGCGCCGGAAGAGGGCGCATCAGAAAACATAACGGAGTAATTTTTATGGCAATTCCAGTTTATCTGTGGCTGAAAGATGATGGCGGTGCAGATATCAAAGGGTCCGTGGATGTTCAGGACCGTGAGGGCAGCATTGAGGTGGTGGCTCAGGAGCACTGCCTCTACATCCCGACGGATAACAACACCGGTAAGCTGACCGGTACCCGTATTCACACACCGTTCCTGTTTACCAAGGAAATTGATTCTTCCAGCCCGTACCTTTACAAGGCCGTGACCACCGGGCAGACCCTGAAGTCTGCTGAATTTAAGTGGTACAAAATCAATGACGCCGGTCAGGAGGTGGAGTACTTCAATACGAAGCTTGAGAACGTGAAGGTGGTGAAGGTTAATCCGGTCATGCACGACATCAAGAATCCCACCTACGAGAAGCATAACCACCTTGAACAGGTGGAACTGCGCTACGAGAAAATCACCTGGACCTACAAGGACGGCAACATCATTCATTCCGACGCATGGAGTGAACGTACCACCGCGTAATTCTCCCGGACGGGCAGGGCATCCTGTCCGTCATTTTTATTTTTTCTTCAGCATCTGTTGGCGGGTGCTGAAGAAAAAATTCTCAATCCTGAACACAGACCTGATGCGCCTGGGTTACGGCGAAGGGCGGTAGCGTGCCTGACGGTCTCCTGACAGTGAGTGAATAACATGGAAAATTCGGCAGCTCTGTTACGTCGTCTTAATCATTACTGTGCCCGTGCACTGGAAGGCGCAGCCTCCCTTTGCCAGACCCGGGCCCATGCAGAAATCACCCCGGAGCACTGGTTACTGAAACTGCTGGAGCAGGGGGAAGGAGACCTTACCGTGCTGGGCCGGCGTTATGGCTGGGATATGGACGCGATATGGCAGTCGCTGCTCGGCTGGCTGGATAACCAGCCCCGTAGCGTACGCAGTCGCCCGCAGCTTGCGCCGTCCCTGAATGCCCTGCTGAAACAGGCCTGGATGGTGGCCTCATTACAGGGGGAAGAACATATCCGCAGCGTGCATCTGCTGGGTGCCCTGACGGAACATCCGCACCTGGTTCGCTGTGACGGGCTGTGGCCCCTGCTGACACTGAGTCAGAGTCAGTTGCAGCGTCTGTCCCCGCTGCTGGATGCGCAGTCTGATGAGTGTCCGGAGAGATTACAGGATGCAGAGCCTGTGCTGCCTCAGGGAGACAATGTGACCTTTATCGGGCGCCCCGTCGGTGCGGATACGGCGGGTATACCGTCAGGTGACCTGCCGCCTGTGTTACAGAGTGCGCTGGATAAATTCACCCGGGACATCACGGCCAGTGCGAGAGAGGGTAAAATTGACCCGGTATCGGGGCGCGATACGGAAATCCGCCAGATGGTGGATATTCTCTCCCGCCGCCGCAAGAATAACCCGATTCTGGTGGGGGACCCCGGTGTGGGGAAAACGGCTCTGGTGGAAGGGCTCGCCCTGCGTATTGCGGAAGGTAACGTACCGGAATCACTCAGACCCGTCACCCTGCGCACCCTTGACCTCGGCCTGCTGCAGGCCGGTGCCGGCGTGAAGGGGGAATTTGAACAGCGCCTGAAAAACGTGATTGATGCCGTGCAGCAGTCACCGGCTCCTGTTCTGTTGTTTATAGATGAAGCCCATACCCTTATCGGGGCCGGTAATCAGGCTGGCGGCGCGGATGCGGCGAACCTGCTGAAGCCTGCGCTGGCGCGGGGTGAACTGCGCACCATTGCCGCCACCACCTGGTCTGAGTACAAACAATACCTGGAACGTGACGCGGCCCTGGAGCGGCGTTTTCAGATGGTCAGAGTGGACGAGCCGGATGATGAGACGGCCTGTCTGATGCTACGCTCCCTGAAATCCCGTTATGCGGAACATCATAACGTGCATATCACCGATGAGGCGGTACGTGCTGCCGTCACACTGTCGCGCCGTTATCTGACAGAACGTCAGTTACCGGACAAGGCCGTTGACCTGCTTGATACCGCTGCTGCCCGTGTGCGTATGAGCCTCGACACGGTGCCGGAACAGCTGACCCGTATCCGTTCACAGCTCGCCTCCCTCGGTATGGAAAAACAGGCACTGCTGGAAGATATTGCCGTTGGTCATCAGAATCACGGCGAACGCCTGTCTGCCATTGAGCAGGAAGAGAATGTGCTGATGACAGCACGTGATGACCTGGAGCAGCAGTACGCCCGGGAGTGCGAACTCACCGGTGAGTTACTTGAAAGCCGCAGCGATATTTCCCGCCAGAGTGAGACACATCACCTGCAGCAGGCACTGCACGACATTCAGCAGAATCAGCCCCTGCTCAGTGTGGATGTTGATGTACGCACCGTGGCCGGTGTGGTCGCGGACTGGACCGGGGTGCCGTTATCCTCACTGATGAAGGACGAACAGACGGAACTGCTGCATCTGGAAAAGGATATCGGCAGACGGGTGGTCGGACAGGACGTGGCACTGGAATCCATTGCACAGCGTCTGCGTGCGGCGAAAACGGGTCTGACATCCGGTAACGGCCCCCAGGGGGTGTTCCTGCTGGTTGGCCCCAGTGGTGTGGGAAAAACTGAAACGGCACTGGCACTGGCAGACGCGATGTACGGCGGCGAAAAATCACTGATTACCATCAATCTGTCGGAATATCAGGAGCCCCATACGGTTTCCCAGCTTAAGGGCTCACCGCCCGGGTACGTGGGATACGGTCAGGGGGGGATTCTGACGGAGGCTGTGCGTAAACGCCCTTACAGCGTGGTGCTGCTGGATGAAGTGGAAAAGGCCCACCGGGATGTGCTGAATCTGTTTTATCAGGTATTTGACCGGGGCTTTATGCGCGACGGCGAGGGGCGTGAAATTGACTTCCGTAATACGGTCATACTGATGACCTCCAACCTGGGCAGTGACCTTCTGATGCAGCAACTGAGCGAAAAGCCGGAGACAACGGAATCGGAGCTGCATGAGCTTATCCGTCCACTGCTGCGCGACCACTTCCAGCCTGCCCTGCTGGCTCGCTTTCAGACCGTGATTTACCGTCCGCTGACACAGTCTGCCATGCGCATCATTGTGGAGATGAAGCTTGCACAGGTCTGTGAACGCCTGCACTGCCATTATGGACTGAGTACATCGGTTGATGAACGTGTGTACGATGCCCTGACATCAGCCTGCCTGCTGCCGGATACGGGCGCCCGGAATGTGGAGAGTCTGCTGAACCAGCAACTGCTGCCGGTACTGAGCCGGCAGTTGCTCAGCTATCTTGCTGCCAGACAGCATCCGACGTACCTGTCTCTGACGTGGAATGATGAGGATGGTATTGTGATAGCGTTTGATGGAATCAATAGCGATTATCCGCAGGAAAGCATATATGGACAGTGCTAAAGAAATTGCCCGGGATATGCTGGAGTCCGTAAATATTAATGGGGATGGGTTTCTGGGGGCCGTCGGGAAGGGGCTCATATCTTTGCCAGTCAGTCTCGGTTATATGGGATATGATTTTACAGATACCGGGCATAGGCGGGAAAACCAGGATGACAAATTCAGAATGGCCAGACTGGTAGAAAAAGGCATTTTCAGCCGTGATATTATTGGGAAAATTATCAGTATTTGTCTTGAAGACTTTGTATCCCGGATCAATATGGAAAAAATAGGCTCCATTGTGAAGAACGTTTCAGGAGATCTGGCAGGTAGAATGGCATTTGCTGAATTGACCGGGGTTAAACTGGGAGAGGCTCTGGTATCCAGAGGGCTGGCTGCTTTTTTTGCAGGGAGTTTTGCCGGGTTGTTATTATCTGTTGGCGCAGAGACATCGCGTGCGATTTACACATCCCGTTTTCTGAAAGACAGAAATCCGGTGTTGCATGATAAGCTGAAAGCTCAGGGGGATTTGGATCTTTTGTACTTCCTTGTTGAAGATATTGTGCGCCCGTTTGAACGAGCCTGTATTGTCGCAGACCGAAATTCGGCTGAGTTTGACCGGATATGCGAATATTTTTTCGGTGGTTTATGAAGATAAAAAGAACATTACTTATAATGCTTTCCCGATTTATCCGTGGCGCAGGTATGGGGTTAGGTGCGTCGGGTATTGTATTTACAGTCTGGTTCTTTTTTCTCTCATCTTCTGAATTTAAATATCTGTGGGGAGGGCTCTCTGTTGCGTTATTTTTTGTCGGTTATCTGATGTATCGATTTGCATATGCATATATTTACGATGAATGGGATGATTATCAGTAATTCTCTCTGAAAATAAAGCTTAACGGTCATCATTATATAATTGCAGTTCAATACCGGTACAGACATGGAGTTAACAATATGAGTCTGACAGATACACTTTCAAAAACTATCTCTGTTTCCCTGAATCGTTACCATTTAATTATTCCCTCCTGCCCGTCACCACTGGATGTTGAGCATTTCAGCGGCAGGGAGGAGATGAGTCAGACCTATTATTACATCATCAATTTTACCAGTACTGACAACGACCTGGATGCCGGGCTGCTGCTGCGTAAATCAGCCACATTTACAATGGGTACGGGAGGGCTTAAGGAGCAGGTGAGCCAGAAAGTAGTACATGGTGTCATTACAGATTTTCGCCGTATATCGGGCTCCGCCGACCAGGCAAAATACCAGGTGATACTGGAACCATTTATTAAACTACTGGACAGGCAGCATCGTTCTCACCGATTTTTCGTTAACAAATCGGTGCCGGAGGTGGTGACAGAGGTTCTCCAGGAGCACGGTCTGAAAGGCTGGGAGTTTAGTTCCGTCTCAAAAAAACGTATCCGAAGCGTGAACAGATTAACCAGTATCAGGAAAGTGACCTGCAATTTATTCAGCGTTTGCTGGCTGAAGTGGGGATTTTTTATTTTTTCACCCTGCAACCGGACACGCAGACGGAAGTGGTGCATTTTGGTGACAGCCAGGCAGCGCTGACGTTTGATAAGACGCTGGCGATAAACAGTCCGTCCGGAATGAATGATAACAGAGCGGATTCAGTGTGGGGGCTGAATGTGACGCACAATGTGGCAGAGGCTAGTGTCACCACAAAGGCTTATAACCATCGTGAAGCACAATATCTGTTGCAGTCCGCCCCGGCAGACATGACGCATGGTGATGGTGACGGAATTAACTATGGTGAGGTGTACCACTACCATTTCCGTCATCTGGAACGGGGGGATAAAATCGACCCGGTGCCGGAGACGGCCAATTTTTATGCCCGCCTTGGTCATGAACGCTATCTGGCGGAGCAGGTACGGATAACCGGTAACAGTACAGACGCCACGCTGGCACCTGCTCAGGTTCTGACTATCACCGACAGTCTTCCGCCGACGTTGCCTGCGCTGCTGCGCAATCCGGTGTTGCTTACCTGTGTCGGTTTTTCTGCAAGTCGCAAGGATGCCCTGCAGGTTGTACTGAAGGGCGTTCCTTACAGTGAAGTTATCTGCTGGCGTCCTCCTTTACTGCCCCGTCCGAAAGTTACCGGTACCATGACGGCCCGTGTGACCAGTGCAAAAGAAGGGGATATCTACGCCTGGCAGGATGCATCAGGTATGTACCGGGTGAAATTTGATGCTGACCGTGATGATAAAAATCCAGGACAGGAAAGTATGCCGGTACGTCTGGCCAAACCCTACAGTGGTGATGCTTATGGTTTTCATTTTCCGCTGATTCAGGGAACGGAAGTGGCCATTGCTTTTGAGGAAGGTGATCCGGATCGTCCCTATATTGCGCATGCCCTGCATGATTCACGTCATGTTGATCACGTTACCGATAAGAACGGTACGCGCAATGTTATCCGTACGCCAGCAAATAACAAATTGCGAATGGAGGATAAGCGCGGCGAGGAGCATATCAAGCTCAGTACCGAGTATGGCGGTAAGACACAACTTAATCTTGGCCATAACGTTGATGAGGAGCGGGTGGTTAGAGGAGAAGGTGCAGAGTTGCGCACTGATGATTGGGTGGCAATTCGGGGGGGGAAAGGGATTTTATTAAGTGCCGACGCTCAACCAAATGCTGATGGTGTAATGCTTGATATGCATAAAGCTATACAGCAGTTGGAACATGCTCTTGCTCTTGCAAAAAGCCTCGGCAAAGCAGCTGAGACAGCAAAAGCAACTTCGGCAGATTCAGATAGCCAGTCTATTTTGAAAAGTGCGCTGTCCGGGTTGCAAAAACCAGGGATATTAGCACATTCACCTATGGGAATTGGTGTGGTAACTCCAGAAGCAGTACGGATTGCTTCTGGAAATCAGAGTGTAGGAATAGTTTCTGGTCGTAATACGGATATTACTGCAGCTCAGTCAGTAACTGTTGCGGCATCGAATTCTGTCAGCCTATTTGCGCAAAGTGCGGGGATGCAACTTTTTGCAGGGCAGGGCAAAGTGGATGTGCAGGCTCAGGGAGATGCGCTGAATCTCCAGGCACTAAAGGACGTCACAGTTACTAGTAATCGTGGTAGTGTAACGTTAAGCGCTAGTAAGGAGTTAACTCTTGTTTGTAATGGTGCTTACATCAAGATCAGTGGCGGAAATATCGAACTTGGATGTCCAGGTAATATTCTGCTTAAATCTGCGAATGTGCAAAAAATGAGAGCGGCAAACTTAAATCTATCTCCTCAGGTGTTGCCTAAAGGATTCAAGGGAGGATTTACAATAACTAATCAGGATACGGGGGAAGTGATGCCGTACATCCTTTATAAGATAACTACCGCAGAAGGTGATGTTTATTCAGGTACAACAGATAAACTTGGCAATACCATGCCAATTTATACAGCGTCGCCATCATTAATGAAAATTGAGTTTCCTCTAAGCAGTGAACAAGGAGGGGCATTATGAGTGAGTCAAAAACATCTGCTGTAGGAACATTCAGTAAAGCCCATGCTCCTGCGCAAAAGAAATGCTGGATTGAAATTCAGCTGGTTGATGAGAATGATAACGCTGTAGCTAATATGCCATGGCGAGGGGAGAATGAAGCTACTCGTGATAAAGTTATTGAGCCTTATAGCGGAGTTACTGATTTAGATGGTATTTTGAGGATCGATGATTTGCTTCACCCAGATCTTACTCTTTTTGTTGAAGCTCAACCACTTGTTGACGAAATGGAGCATAGACCTTTAAGTATAGAGAGAACATGTTCCTATTCGATGAAAAATTCACCAGTAACTGTTGATAAGCGGACCAATAATATTTGTTATTATGTAGTTGTCGGTCAATTGTGCGATAAAGCTCCAAGTATACCTGGTTGGAATAGTAAAGAATTACCTGCCTTTCATTTTCCCGATCGTGATTTTTCAGGACTAACTATTTCAAATGCGTACTTTAATTCGAGAGTTATAGTAAAAGTATGTCCATTTAGAGCATGGAATTTACTTCTTCATCATGCAAAGGATTACTCTATTGTAAATGCGTTTAATTTGGGGCTTTTAGCTGAATTTGTTTATTCTGACAAAGAAAAAATCCTGTCCTTTTTTAATGAGCAGTGTCAAGATTTATCTAAAGTTCCTAGTATGCTCTATGAAACCATTTCTGTTGATGTGCCGTTTAGAGAACGTTATGTAAATCCAGTATTTCTTGATACTACAGAAGGTGATTTTGGAGAAGGGGGGACCCAGCTTTTCTTCGTCAGCAATTTGACTAAGCTATTAGTCGGCTGGAGAGGTACTGAGCCAGATAAACTAGCAGATCTTATTACTGATGGGGCATTTAGGCCGGTGCCATGTCCAGATATAGTGCCATCAGGTCATTGTCACAAAGGTTTTTTAGATGCATTTAATTTAGTTGGAAAAAAATTCAGGGACCAACTCAAACAAATTCAGAGTTTGTCGAGTGGCCGTGAATTATTTATTGCAGGACATAGCTTAGGCGGTGCATTAGCTCTAATTCATGCTGCTGTGTTGCGTGATTATCAACCAATAATCTATACATATGGAATGCCGCGAGTATTTACGGCATCGGCTATTAATAAAATTAAAAATATTTCTCACTATAGACACGTTAATGATTCAGATTCAGTAACAAGCATTCCACCGGAGTTAGAGTTAGATAATAAACTCTATGATCTTTGGGGACCTTACGGTGTTGTCTATGGATTTGTTGGTTCTGTTTTGGCTATGGGAATTCAAGGCGCAGGAATAAAGTTTGGTGATCCTTATTGGCACCATGGTAGCACTGTCTGCTTTTTTAAGGTTGAGCAGTCTATTGTTAAGCGTTTAAAAAGAATTATGCCGCTTATAGGCATGGATGTTAAAAAACCATATATATCAATAAGGGAGATCTCATTTGACAAATGTAAGCTATATCTTGTTCCAGATCTTAATGAGAAAATGTTTTGCGCTACAGCAGAGGAGCAAAATAATTTTGTGAAAAGTTTGTCCCCTGAAAGTTTAAGATGCTATTTTCCTAAAAATAGTAATCCAGAACTTGATTCTTGGACAAATCCAATAAATCATTCCATGTCAAACAAATACATGCCTTTTATTAATAATGAGCTGATTGAGCTAACAGATCCTGAGCGACCAATGGAAAGAAAACTGAATAGGAAAAAATTTTCAATTGCTGTTGATAATGCAGCGAAGTTAACAGAAAGCACTTCGAAGCATGAGGTGGAAAGAAATAAGAACTTTTTATTGTTGCAAGATATGTTGCCAAAAACATTAGAAATATCAAAGTCAGAAAATAACTGGGTGAATGCATTGATTAGATTTAAAAATAGTGCAAAGGAAGAGTATGAGAATATTAATTAAGAACATGATGTACATCTTTTCTTATTACGTGTTAGGGTGTGATAAAAATGAGTCATTGAATCCTCCATCCAATGGTGAAATGGTTTCTGTAATTGCAAAGATGCCAGCGGGCAGTAAAATATTGCCATTGGAAATTATGTATCGTTCAACCACTTGCTTGAAGAGTCGTAAAGATTCAAATGGAGGTATAGTAAAAGAACCAGGATATTATTTTGTCAAGAAAGAATTCAATTCTGTATCAGACGATAATATATTTAATCTGAAGATTCCACGTGATGGTGGAGGGCAGTGTAACTGGGAGTTAAGCAACATAACGTTAGGGTTCTATTTAAAAGAACTTCCTTCAGGTAAAGATGAAAAGAGTGAGAATATACCAATTAAAGAAATTATTGTGTTTGATGATAATTCACCTCAGCGGCTAAGTGGAACATACGAGATTATTAATGGAGATGTTACACTGAAAGAGAATTACTTTCCTTTAATTACAAAGCGCAGGAATAGCAATACCTTATTGGAATATTCCATTGTCAGGTCTTCACCAGATGTGATTTATAAATCAACATCGGCAAAAAAAGTTATTTTTGAACCAAGGATTCATTTTTCAAAAGTTTTACGCGCGACAGAACCGACAGGGCAAAAAGTCGGAGTGTATATGTCGGTGTTGTATCCTGATGGAACTATCGAGAATGGGCCATATTTCCCTAATTACAAAAAACTTCAGTTCCTTGAGAGAGGTAATGATTGATTATTTATAATTAATTTCTGTATTTTTAGATTGAATGTTTTATGTATCTGTGAATGCGTGGTGTTCCGAATCGGATTTTGCGTTATTATTTCTAATGTCGTAATTAAAGAGAAAGAGTTTAGCTAAAACGATTGTTTTCATTCTAAACATAGAGTAAATATGAAGTGTTTTTTATCAAGTCTACGAACTCTCAGTATTATGTTTTTTGTGCCGATTATATTTTTCATCTTTCAGTACGAATGCTGGAGTAAGTGATAGTTTTGATTTGCTTATAATTGGGGGATTGTTTCTCATTATCTTGGTTAGCAAATCCATTTATTATAGAAGTAATCAAGATAAATAATTTATTATATTTATAATTGTCCCTGGTGTCATTTTTATTGTTCATTTCTTTCTTAGAAGTTAAAGGCATTATTGTGAAGGTTGGGAAGGGAAAATGTTAATAATGTTTTATGGCTTGGGATATTGGATGTGAGAGTCATGCTTCATTTAGCATGATGTTAACTCAAAATATCGACATTCATTAGCGTAAAAATTAAAATAATGAATATCTCTGATTAATTGTTGTCTTAATTTATATCGTCTTATAAAGTTGAGGTGTGGATGTCAAGTA